GTCCTTCAAAATTTGAAACTCTATATCATACAACATTTACAGTTGTTGTTTGTAGGTTATTTGGGACCCGTACTAAAGTTGTAGAGATGTTCATCCGTGTCACCCAGTTACGTTTTACCACGGTTGCCTAAAGTGTTTGGAAGCAGTTGAACCATATCACCCCGATAGAGTTTTGAGACAGTTTGGCAGAGTGTAGACAATCCCCAATCCGCCACTTAGCCCTATGCGTGCTTCTCGAGGAGCCATAGCTCCATGATATAATGTTATGTATGCATACTTGGACATCATTTGCGAGACATGGGACAACCATGTGTTTTCTGATTGGAGGAGGAGTACACCGGTATGACAACCTTGGGATTGTGTTCCTGGTTACATGGATTTGTACCAAACCATTACCCATATGTATGTACAAAAACCAGCGTGTCATTCTCAAGTGGACCTGAATATCTATCATTATCAGTATCTTAGCCAAGACGCACAGGTATCATTTTTTTCATTTACATTGCAAATTATTTATGTAAATTGTTACAAGTTTGTATATGATGTTATATTTGTTCTCGTAATGCAGTGTATGTCACAGATATATCAGATTACTCATCATTTCGTTGAGGCTAGCTATGAGGACAGTATTCAATATCCTGATAGGCTTTACTACGCAATTGATGCAATCGAACAGCTTCTTCAAAATCAGTACATTAGTGAAGCTGTGCCCAGCACATCCACTCAGGGTTGGTCTGCACCCAGCTCTTCCACTGCACATCGCTTTGGAGCACATTACACTTGCCGGCCACGTAGTTAATAGTAGTTCATAATGTTAGCACAAGTAGTTTCTGATGATGTTGGTAGATGTATAGGGACACAAATATTATTATTATCTTTGGATTATGTACAAGCACACATGTAGTTTGTGATGGTGTGGATGGATTGAATTATTATTTAATATATATATATATTACATATTTGTTTAATCTTATTACTTTTTAACAACAGTTGCATTTGGTTAATATTATTTTCATTAAGTTTTGTGTTCAGACAATGTAAAAATAATATGACATCCATTCCATAAATTAGAGAACTATAATGCATATAATATTCTTTTTTTTAAAAAAAAAAAAACTGACTATTACAAAATCCAATGGCAAAATGATATCCATCTCGTTATTCAATCCTAGTAAATCATAAAAACTAAGGTCTTAAAGCTGTCATTACTACTCTGTAATACATCAATCTATGTCAACTACATCAAATGTCTCTGGAGTAGCTACATTAGGTCTTATATTGTCTTTGAATTTTTTAATGTGGCTAACATATGCATTCTCCCATTTTGATGCACAAGGGTGATGGTGAACTCGCCAAAGCACGACAATGGAAGGAACTAGATGACCAGCCTCCAAAAATACCTGCACGTACATCCAAAAAATTGCATATCTTTACCAAATACATAAAATTTGCAATTACACAAATATTAGACAACAATGTTCGGCTATTTTCATAACTTATACCTGCACAAAATGATTTCCATTGACAAATCCAATGGCAATCTCGCAACGATCAGCTAGGGTTACTGGCGGTGATCTCAAAGGTAAGAAAGTGAGACACTGTTGCAATGACAAGTGGTACAAAACTACATTATAAAATGATGCAATAAGATGCCTCGTGTCAGGCATAGTCATCTAATGATCAAAGCCTGGGCTATCTTTAAAATATGAAAGGTTATGTGTCAGCTCCTTAACCCTCTCATGCGACCTGTATAGTACGACGTATTCATCTGTATGATTATTCAATTCAAGTAGTAGATCACACATAACTTGCACCCAGTCATTCTGTCTAAGACCAAGTAAACCCACAATAGCTCTAAAACCATAATCCCATCACCATCTACATCTTTCATCAACTTTATGAATGGTATTAACATAGGCGGGAAGTCATCAGCATATGCACTCGGTAAACTTGTTCTTATACGATATGTCTTTGTCTTCACATTTCGCTTATTCTCATGCACTTTTGAATCTTTTTTTTTTTCTTTGACTGACTGGAAGCTAATGTGCTCTGGTTATCATGGCCATTGTCAACCAACTCAAATACACATGAGTCACGACGACAAGATATATCAATTTTCTTATGTCCTCGACGTGGATTAGGTTTCACATCAAGCTCAATAAGAAAAGTGCTTGCTGGATTTGCAATTTTCCTTAACTTTTTCAACATATCCAATTGTGTGGCAATATCAGACTCTTTGAACCGCTTTAAAATCGTCTAAATTTCTGGGATACAAGTCAATTCCAACTTCTCAATCTTTGGATTATGCACACATATAGTAAGTCGCATCCAATGTACATGTATGCTACTGAGTGGAATAAGACGTCCTTGTCTCATGTAATCTGCAATTTCGTGAGCACAAAGTAAACTATGCGTGCACCTAAGAACACACCTACATGCTGCAACATTAATTCCAACTGAATTTGCTTTCTTGCTCTTTGCCAACACGTACTCCAATGCACAAATAGCCACATTACCCCGGAGCTATCTGAATTGGGAAGGTTTGAATTGATGTTGCACAGTTGTCAAACTCTTATCGAATGATGCTTTAACTTGAATGTGCTACAACTCAATTAAACAATGTATTTTTTTCAAATGAAATCTCAAATGTTGTTTGACTTGAACCTAACTACCTCTTCAATCTAGCATGAACACTCTCAACCTTATTCATATGGATGTAACCCAAAATAGTCAAGCATAATAATTAAAAATAACAATATGATATATAATAAATTAAAAAAAAATAATAAATCTTACTGATTGGTTGTAACATTGTCAAAATGCATACACATGTTTGTATGTATTGCAATGAATTTTTTTTGATACGGATTCAACCAACTTACAGTAACATACTTGATTACCTCCGAATAGTTACTAAAATCCTTATATAGTGTTGCAAGGTGATCATTGTATTCATCTTCAGTCGATGACAATATCAAATAGTTTCATGCAGTGTTAAACTTATCCCATTTTTCTTTTGTCTCAAACATTTTCTTGCATTTTGTCAATACGTTTCTATTAATATGCCAACGACATAACAAATGTCGAGCATTCGGAAATGTGTTGTCAATGGCATTCATCAAAGCAAGCTCTTTGTCTGTGACAATGACTTCAGGTAAAACACTGTTGTTCATAAGATCACACAATGTTTGTAACGCCCATGCATAATTATCAATCCACTCAGTTTGCAAGTATAGCCACGAAGAATGTCATATGAGTTGACGTCACTCCCACAATTTCAAGAAGACGAAGCTGATATCTATTTGTTTTATATGTGCAATCCATAATCAACACACGAGGGAATGTACGAAGCAAATCCAAACTCACTGGATGTACCCAAAACAAGTCTGTGACAGTCATAGAGCCTTCCTCACATTGATGACACTCAATGTACTTATGTTTCGCTAATTCACCCATCAGTTGTTGCATCTGGGATCTACCAGCTTTCTGTAGAACCCTACAACAATGTTGTACATTGTAAACTGTCTTCATTGTACTCATATTAAGGGCATCCCTTTGTTTGAGTGTAATGAGTATCTTTGAGTATCTTTTTTGGTCTTATTAGGCTCTTTAACATGTCTACTAACAACGACTTTTCATTAGCTGACAATCTCTCTTCATATGAATGTCCTTAGAGATACTTTGCAGGAAGATGATTATGCAGCCCACAAACTACATTCAATGTCCATTCATCGTTTGTTTTTAACTTGAATGCCCTCAAATCAAATGGACATTCGCACTTCTTCATACCAGTTTGTCTCAATAAGTCTTTTGAGCCATCTTTCAGCTTTTTACGCAATCTATACTTCCCACTCCACTCATAAAGCAAGATAAATTCTTGGTCTTTTATGACCGCCACCATAGTCTGATATCCTTATAATAATAACAAAGCCATTTATCCTTTCAATGCCACGTACCCAAGTGAGCAATTTATCTTTGTTGTCGAAAACCTATATATAATGTCACACAACTTTCATAAGAACAAACTAAACAAAGTAATACAAATTATGAACTTACGAATTTTATGTTAAAAGTTATCTGTTTAGCTGTAAAATGACTAGTACAATCCACCTTAATATCCAATCGAACCTCAGGTTCTTTAGTGCATGCCATCTTAAAAGGCGGGGAAAATTTTTTTATTCAGTTTTACAGAGTCGAAATAATTAAAAAAAATTCGGCACTTAAAAAACGAAAATAATAAAAAAATTTCAGCACTATAGCCGAAAAAATTAATTATATTCGGCACTTAATAACTGAAATAAATTTAAAAATCAGGATTAAAGTATTGAAATGTCTAAAAAAATTCAAAACTTTTTTATCGAAATATTAATGTTAGTTCGGCCATTGATTTTTGAATTAATTGATAAAATTCGATACTGTGTTTCCGACTAAAAAACACAAAAAAATAAAAAAATTACTACACGATTTTACTTATTCATCACTGATTTTGCTGTTACCATTGTTTGAGTTTGAACTTCCATAAGTTTACAACTCTTTCATATCAAAATCAAGTAAAAATTGTTAAACTAATAATTAAATAATGTAAATAATCGAGTATAAACCTAGAGATTAAAGTAATATGATAGATGTTTTGAGAGTATTGCTCTTTACAAGTAACAGAGGAGTACAAAATATGTAACAAGCAAAATGACTACAGTAGAAAAAATAGGGTTTAATTATTTTTATTCAAAATGTGTATATTGAGATATTTTTGTTCCTAAAATATGTATATAGAGAATTTATGTATATAATATTAGGAGTGTTGATAGATGTTTATTATAATAATTTTTAATTAAGATATAATTATCATTAAATTAATTTTTCATTAGGTGTGTGCCTTGAATTTATCAAGTGGATAGAAATGAAATTTCCCGAATTTCATCTAGAGAAGGGCTTTTTGGGCCTTTTTAGATGGGCTTGACCGACCCGTTACCCGAATACAGGTTTCCTCTTTGTGTGGAAGCAAACGCAAACAGCGAACACATCCCCCACCCCCATGGAATTTTGATCTCCAAACTGCAGCAAAGCATTTTCACAAACCAAGTGTTGAGTAGAAGACAGAGAATCTAGAGAGAGAGAGAGAGAGAGAGAGAGATGGGATTAGGGTTGCTAGCTTCTAGGGCTCTGAGATCATCTAGGATTTTCACATCCCCAGTCTCTAGAAATGCCATCGTTCGAACCATTGTCTCAACACCTGAGCTCCAAAACCCAGAAGCCTCAGCCGCGGCCCAATCGCCGCCCGAAGATCTCCCGATTCGAACCCCGGTGGCCGGAGCTAGGGTTGAATTCACCAACCCTGACGACGCAATCGAGGTCTTCGTCGATGGCTATCCTGTAAAAATCCCTAAAGGAATGACCGTTTTACAGGCCTGTGAGCTCGCCGGCGTCGACATTCCCCGATTTTGTTATCACAGCCGCCTTTCCATCGCCGGAAACTGCCGTATGTGCCTCGTCGAGGTCGAGAAGTCCCCCAAGCCTGTCGCTTCTTGCGCCATGCCTGCTCTTCCAGGTTTTCATTTATGATCTACGCTTTGTTTGATTTGATTCAATTGTTGAATTTAATTCCTTAGACTGGTTGTTGGGTTTTAGTGTTGTATGTAGTTTGTGATTGGATTTGTTTCTGTCTGGCAAATATTTTAGAATAAAATTAGAACTTTAGCAGTCGTGGATGACATTTAAAATAAATAAAAAAAGAAGAAGAAAAAAGGTCGGAGATAACAACGACTTTTCATTAGCTGACAATCTCTCTTCATATGAATGTCCTTAGAGATACTTTGCAGGAAGATGATTATGCAGCCCACAAACTACATTCAATGTCCATTCATCGTTTGTTTTTAACTTGAATGCCCTCAAATCAAATGGACATTCGCACTTCTTTGTACCAGTTTGTCTCAACAAGTCTTTTGAGCCACCTTTCAACTTTTTACGCAATCTATACTTCCCACTCTGCTCACAAGCAAGATAAATTCTTGGTCTCTTACGACCGCCACCATAGTCCAACGTCCTTATAATAATAACAAAGCCATTTATCCTTCCAATATCATGTACCCAAGTGAGCAATTCATCTTTGTTGTCGAAAACCTATATACAATGTCACATAACTTTCATAAGAACAAACTAAACAAACTAACTAATACAAATTTATGAACTTACAAATTTTATGTTAAAAATTACCTGTCTAGCTTAAAATGACTAGTACAATCCACCATAATATCCGATCGACATACTTGGACATCATTTGGGAGGCATGGGACAACCATGTATTATCTGATTGGAGAAGTACACTGGTACGGCAACCTTGGGATTGTGTTCCTGGTTACATGGATTGGTACCAAACCATTACCTATATGTATGTACAAAACCCAGCGCGTCGTTCTCAAGTGGACCCGAATATCTATCATTATCAGTATCCTAGCCAAGACGCACAGGTATCCTTTTTTTCGTTTACATTGCAAATTATTTATGTACACTGTTACAAGTTTGTACATAATGTTATATTTGTTCTCGTAATGCAGCGTATGTCACAGATACATCAGATTACTCATCCTTTCATTGAGGCTGGCTATGAGGACAGTGTTCAACATCCTAATAGGCTTTACAATGCAATTGATGCAATCAAACAACTTCTTCAAGATCAGCACATTAGTGAAGCTGCACCCAGCACATCCACTCAGGGTCAGTCTGCACCTAGCTCTCCCACTGCACATCGTTTTGGAGCACATTACACTCGCCGGTCACGTAGTTAATAGTAGTTCATAATGTTAGCACAAGTAGTTTCTCATGGTGTTGGTGGATGTATAAGGAGACAAATATTATTATTATCTTCGGATTATGTATTTTTTGGATTATGTACAAGCACACATGTAGTTTGTGATGGTGTGGATGGATTGAATTACTATTTAATATATATATATATATTACATATTTGTTTAATCTTATTACTTTTTAACAACAGTTGCATTTGGTTAATATTATTTTCATTACGTTTTGTGTTCAGACAATGTAAAAATAATATGACATCCATTCCATAAATTAGAGAACTATAATGCGTATAATATTTTATTTTTTTAAAAAAAAAAAACAGACTATTACAAAATTCAACGGCAAAATGATATCCGTCTCGTTATTCAATGCTAGTAAATCATAAAAACTAAGGTCTTAAAGCTGTCATTACTACTCTGTAATACATCAATCTATGTCAACTACATCAAATGTCTCTGGAGTAGCTACATTAGGTCTTATATTGTCTTTGAATTTTTTAATGTGGCTAACATATGCATTCTCCCATTTTGATGCACAAGGGTGATGGTGAACTCGCCAAAGCACGACAATGGAAGGAACTGGATGACCGGCCTCCAAAAATACCTGCACGTACATCCAAAAAATTGCATATCTTTACCAAATACATAAAATTTGCAATTACACAAATATTAGACAACAATGTTTGGTTATTTTCATAACTTAAACATGCACAAAATGATTTCCATTGACAAATCCAATGGCAATCTCGCAACGATCAGCTAGGGTTACTGGCGGTGATCTCAAAGGTAAGAAAGTGAGACACTGTTGCAATGACAAGTGGTACAAAACTACATTATAAAATGATGCAATAAGATGCCCCGTGTCAGGCATAGTCATCTAACGATCAAAGCCCGGGCTATTTTTAAAATATGAAAGGATGTGTGTCAGCTCCTTAACCCTCTCATGCGACCTGTATAGTACGACATATTCATCTGTACGATTATTCAATTCAAGTAGTAGATCACACATAACTTGCACCCAGGCATTCTGTCTAAGACCAAGTAAACTCGCAATAGCTCTAAAACCACAATTCCCATCACCATCTACATCTTTCATCAACTTTATGAATGGTATTAACATAGGCGGGAAGTTACCAGCATATGCACTCGGTAAACTTGTTCTTATACGATATGTCTTTGTCTTCACATTTCGCTTCTTCTCATGCACTTTTGAATCTTTTTTTTTTCTTTGACTGACTGGAAGCTAATGTGCTCTGGTTATCATGGCCATTGTCAACCAACTCAAATGCACATGGGTCACGACGACAAGATATATCAATTTTCTTATGTCCTGGACGTGGATTAGGTTTCACATCAGGCTCAATAAGAAAAGTGCTCGCTGGATTTGCAATTTTCCTTAACTTTTTCAACATATCCAATTGCGTGGCAATATCAGGCTCTTTGAACCGCTTTAAAATCGTCTCAAGTTCTGGGATACAAGTCAATTCCAACTTCTCAATCTTTGGATTATGCACACATATAGTAAGTCGTGTCCAATGTACATGTATGCTACTGAGTGGAATAGGACGGCCTTGTCTCATGTAATCTGCAATTTCGTGAGCACAAAGTAAACTATGCGTGCACCTAAGAACACACCCACATGCTGCAACATTAATTCCAGCTGAATTTGCTCTCTTGCTCTTTGCCAACATATACTCCAATGCACAAATAGCCACATTACCCCGGAGCTCTCTGAATTGGGAAGGTTTGAATTGATGTTGCACAGTTGTCAAACTCTTCTCGAATGATGCTTTAACTTGAATGTGCTGCAACTCAAGTAAACAATGTATTTTTTTCAAATGAAATCTCAAATGTTGTTTGACTTGAACCTAACTACCTGTTCAATCTAGCATGAACACTCTCAACCCTATTCATATGGATGTAACCCAAAATAGTCAAGCATAATAATTAAAAATAATAATATGATTTATAATAAATTAAAAAAAATAATAAATCTTACCGATTGGTTGTAACATTGTCAAAATGCATACACATGTTTGTATGTATCGCAATGAATTTTTTTTGATACGGATTCAACCAACTTACAGTAACATACTTGATTACCTCCGAATAGTTACTAAAATCCTTATGTAGTGTTGCAAGGTGATCATTGTATCCATCTTCAGTCAATGACAATATCAAATAGTTCCATGCAGTGTTAAACTTATCCCATTTTTCTTTTGTCTCAAACATTTTCTTGCATTTTGTCAATACATTCCTGTTAATATGCCAACGACATAACAAATGTCGAGCATTCGGAAATGTGTTGTCAATGGCATTCATGAAAGCAAGCTCTTTGTCTATGACAATGACTTCAGGTAAAACACTGTTGTTCATAAGATTACACAATGTTTGTAACGCTCATGCATAATTATCAATCCACTCAGTTTGCAAGTATAGGCACGAAGAATGTCATATGAGTTGATGTCACTCCCACAATTTCAAGAAGAGGAAGCTGATATCTATTTGTTTTATATGTGCAATCCATAATCAACACACGAGGGAATGTACGAAGTAAATCCAAACTCACTGGATGTGCCAAAAACAAGTCCTTGACAGTCATAGAGCCTTCCTCACATTGATGACACTCAATGTACTTATGTTTCGCTAATTCACCCAGCGGTTGTTACATCTGGGATCTACCAGCTTTCTGTAAAACCCTACAATAATGTCGTACATTGTAAACTGTCTTCATTGTACTCATATTAAGGGCATCCCTCTGTTTGAGTGTAATGAGTATCTCTTTTGGTTTTATTAGGCTCTTTAACATATCTACTAACAGCGACTTTTCATTAGCTGACAATCTCCTTGCATATGAATGTCCTTAGAGATGCTCTGCAGCTGGATGATTATGCAGCCCACAAACTACATTCAATGTCCATTCATCGTTTGTTTTCAACTTGAATGCCCTCAAATCAAATGGACATTCGCACTTCTTCGTACCAATTTGTCTTAATAAGTCTTTTGAGCCATCTTTCAGCTTTTTACGCAATCTATACTTCCCACTCCACTCATAAAGCAAGATAAATTCTTGGTCTCTTATGACGGCCACCATAGTCCGATATCCTTATAATAATAACAAAGCCATTTATCCTTTCAATGTCACGTATCCAAGTGAGCAATTTATCTTTGTTGTCGAAGACATATATATAATGTCACACAACTTTCATAAGAACAAACTAAACAAAGTAATACAAATTATGAACTTACGAATTTTATGTTAAAAGTTATCTGAGAACAAACTAAACAAAGTAATACAAATTATGAACTTACGAATTTTATGTTAAAAGTTATCTGTTTAGCTGTAAAATGACTAGTACAATCCACCTTAATATCCAATCGAACCTCAGGTTCTTTAGTGCATGCCATCTTAAAAGGCGGGGAAAATTTTTTTATTCAGTTTTACAGAGTCGAAATAATTAAAAAAAATTCGGCACTTAAAAAACGAAAATAATAAAAAAATTTCAGCACTATAGCCGAAAAAATTAATTATATTCGGCACTTAATAACTGAAATAAATTTAAAAATCAGGATTAAAGTATTGAAATGTCTAAAAAAATTCAAAACTTTTTTATCGAAATATTAATGTTAGTTCGGCCATTGATTTTTGAATTAATTGATAAAATTCGATACTGTGTTTCCGACTAAAAAACACAAAAAAATAAAAAAATTACTACACGATTTTACTTATTCATCACTGATTTTGCTGTTACCATTGTTTGAGTTTGAACTTCCATAAGTTTACAACTCTTTCATATCAAAATCAAGTAAAAATTGTTAAACTAATAATTAAATAATGTAAATAATCGAGTATAAACCTAGAGATTAAAGTAATATGATAGATGTTTTGAGAGTATTGCTCTTTACAAGTAACAGAGGAGTACAAAATATGTAACAAGCAAAATGACTACAGTAGAAAAAATAGGGTTTAATTATTTTTATTCAAAATGTGTATATTGAGATATTTTTGTTCCTAAAATATGTATATAGAGAATTTATGTATATAATATTAGGAGTGTTGATAGATGTTTATTATAATAATTTTTAATTAAGATATAATTATCATTAAATTAATTTTTCATTAGGTGTGTGCCTTGAATTTATCAAGTGGATAGAAATGAAATTTCCCGAATTTCATCTAGAGAAGGGCTTTTTGGGCCTTTTTAGATGGGCTTGACCGACCCGTTACCCGAATACAGGTTTCCTCTTTGTGTGGAAGCAAACGCAAACAGCGAACACATCCCCCACCCCCATGGAATTTTGATCTCCAAACTGCAGCAAAGCATTTTCACAAACCAAGTGTTGAGTAGAAGACAGAGAATCTAGAGAGAGAGAGAGAGAGAGAGAGAGATGGGATTAGGGTTGCTAGCTTCTAGGGCTCTGAGATCATCTAGGATTTTCACATCCCCAGTCTCTAGAAATGCCATCGTTCGAACCATTGTCTCAACACCTGAGCTCCAAAACCCAGAAACCTCAGCCGCGGCCCAATCGCCGCCCGAAGATCTCCCGATTCGAACCCCGGTGGCCGGAGCTAGGGTTGAATTCACCAACCCTGACGACGCAATCGAGGTCTTCGTCGATGGCTATCCTGTAAAAATCCCTAAAGGAATGACCGTTTTACAGGCCTGTGAGCTCGCCGGCGTCGACATTCCCCGATTTTGTTATCACAGCCGCCTTTCCATCGCCGGAAACTGCCGTATGTGCCTCGTCGAGGTCGAGAAGTCCCCCAAGCCTGTCGCTTCTTGCGCCATGCCTGCTCTTCCAGGTTTTCATTTATGATCTACGCTTTGTTTGATTTGATTCAATTGTTGAATTTAATTCCTTAGACTGGTTGTTGGGTTTTAGTGTTGTATGTAGTTTGTGATTGGATTTGTTTCTGTCTGGCAAATATTTTAGAATAAAATTAGAACTTTAGCAGTCGTGGATGACATTTAAAATAAATAAAAAAAGAAGAAGAAAAAAGGTCGGAGATGTCTAGGTAGGGATGAAGAGTGCCCCAAATCAGCCATTTGGGTGCGGGGCTCATTAAAATTTCAGGAAATTTGGGTTCATTATTGCTTTTTAGATTTTAGTTCGTTTTTTAGTTATAATAGAAGTAAAACATATACACACACATATATATATATTTTCTGGATTACTTGATGTAGGGTTGTTCCTTATTAATATTGCATTAGAATTTTACACAAATAGGGAACTTACATGGGTCTGCTTTGACTACCCTGGTGATGTGGCATTCTAAAAAATAAGAATATAGAGAGAGCCATGCTAGGAAGCACGGATACGGATATGATATGAATACGGCAATTCAACAGAACTTAAAAAAATAGGATTTGGCTAAGGCTATGATATGTTTGTAAAAAAATAATAAATAAATAAAATTATTAGTAGTCACATATAAACTCAAGAATGTTGAGAAATCACATTGTAATTTTATAATGCAAAATACCAACCTTTAAAAATTAAGTATTAATTTAAGATAATAATTTGTTTACTTTTTAAATTTTTAATAGGTGTTGCAAATATTTTATTTCAATATAAAGTCTAACATGTTTATATTACAGTTACAATAATAAAACAATCCCCAACTTGTCTCTGTGCTTTTTCCTTTGGCACTAGTAAAAATGTTGTATTCATGTTTACTTGCTTATTTACTTATCAATATTTAATTTTATTATTGTTGTATTCTTTTGTTAGTCCTTACTTTTTATGTAGTTATAGGGGACCTGCTTAAAACAATAAGGATACATTAATTTATCAAATTCTATTACTTTAACTTTTACTATGTTCTTCTTATCAAAGAAAGAATTAAATAAAGTATTAGAAGTAATACACGACTTGGAGTATCTGATACTCCAAAATTAATAAAAAATTAATTAAGAAGTATTCAAAATTTTAACAAATATTTGATACATATCCATAAGTATTCAAGGAATATCGGTATTTGATACTGATATGATTTGGATACCTCTCCCTTTTTGAAGTATCCATGCTTCATAGGAGCCATGTAGGTGCCACATAGGAAAGAGAAAAATTTAGGGTAAACACTACTTTTAATACTATATATATGATATGATTTGGTTACTTGTATAGTTTTTTACTTGATTGACTTCGTAATGTGTCCTTTTAGTTCTCTATCGTATATCGATTATTCATCACTATTTTCATGCTTCTATTTTTAATGTTTCAATATATTGATTACTTATGATTCTATGTCTTCTCCATTATTCATTTGAGATGGTTCTTTCCTTCTTAATCATCTGATTTGCATGGCTATTTGATTTTTGATTTTTCTGTAGTTTATATCGCGTAGTTATTTATTTGGGTTTGGTTTTGCTTTTGATATTCTCAATCTCCTTGCGCCCATGTTTCATTTGGTCTTTCACATGTTGGTTTTGTAATATATACTACATTGGTCATTTATGGATAGTTATGTTAGGTAGCCGACAACCAACACGTAAAAAAAGTCATTCAGATCCCTTATGAAAATGAATCCTACTTTGAATCGTTTAAATGCTAGGTCGTTACTCTTAAGTAACGCGTTGCGCTTGCCTCCGGGTGTTTTGAAAAGTAAGCAAGGGGCGCTGCATCAATGCCTGGGTGCGGTGAAAAATAGGTAAAGGTTTTCGCGTTTTTCTGGACGAGCGCGGGTAAAGAAGCTAGTCAAGACTACAGGTTTAGGGTAGCCACTTGGAATATAGGAACCTTACCTGGTAAGACGATGGAATTGGTAAATGTTATGATTTGGAAGAGAGTATAGTTTGCGTACAAGAAACTAAGTAGACGGAAGAAAACTAGGGAAATTGAGGATACCGGTTTTAAACTGTATTATAGTGGTAAGGACAGACACAAAAATGGGGTAAGAATCATAATTGCCAAGGGTCTGGTGGAGAATGTAGTAGCGGTCATTAGGAAAGGGGATAGGATTATGTTAGTTAAACTAGTTATTGGAGGGAATATAGCGAACGTTATTAGTGCATACGCCCCTTAAGTAGGATTAGATGATCAGACTAAGTGGGATTTTTGGGAGCAAATGGATGAGATCTTACAGGAGATGCCCATAGGAGAGAACCTGGTTATAGGTGGAGATTTTAATGGCCATGTAAGTATAGATGAATTAGGCTATGAAAGGGTTCATGGTGGATTTGGTTTTGGTGACAGAAATGAGTCTGGAGAGAGTATCTTAGATTTTACGTTGGCTTCTGACCTGGTGGTGGCCAATACTATGTATAAGAAGAGGGAGGAGCATTTGATAACTTTTAAGAGTGAGTCAATTAAGAACCAAATAGATTACTTCTTAGTGAGAAAGGTGAACCACCTAAAATGCAATGATTGTAAGGTGATTCCTGAAGAGAGCCTGACCTCTCAACATAGGATTTTGGTACTAGATTCATGTTTTAGAGGGCAATACCAAGCTAGGAAGGATGGTGGGTGTCGTAGGACGAGATGGTGAGACCTAAAAGGGGATAAACTAGAAATATTTAAGAATAGAATGGATAAGGAAGGTACTTGAGACTTGGAAGATGATGCTAACACTATGTGGAACTTGATGGCCAATTGTATGAGGATAATCTCAAGGGAAGTGCTTGGAGAGTCGAAAGGGATGGGACCCAATGTTAGGGAAACTTGGTGATGGAGGGAAGAGGTTCAAGTGGTAGTTAAGGCAAAAAAAGAGTGCTTTAAAAAGTGGCAGAAGGATAGAACTGAGAAAAACCTCAAGAGCTGATTGGCTAATAAGGAGGTCAAAAGAGTAGTGAGAGAGGTTAAGTTGAAAGCTTATGATGACCTATATACTAGACTAGATAGTAAAGAAGGAGAGAAGAGGGTATACAAACTTACTAAGATACGGGAGAGGAAAACAAGAGATTTTAATCAAGTTAAGTGCATCAAGAGTGAGGATTCTAAGGTATTGGTGAAGGATGAACAGATTAAGGAAAGATGGAAGAACTATTTTGAGAAATTATTAAATGAGGAACGTGGAGGTACGACAATAGGAGAAGAAATGTCGCAATACGATAAATCAAGATTATAGGTTTTATTGCAGGATTAGGAACTTTGAAGTGGAGATTGTACTTAAGAAGATGAAATCAAATAAGGCTTTAGGACCCGATGATATCCCTATTGAAGCTTGGAAGTGCTTGGGTAAAAAAGGGGTTGCTTGGTTGACTAGGTTGTTTAGTAAAATTTTGTTGACTAGGAACATGCCAGATGAGTGGAGGAAGAGTATTTTAGTGCCAATATATAAGAATAAATGAGATGTCTAGAATTGCAACAACTATAGAGGAATCAAGCTAATGTGCCATATAATGAATGTGTGGGAGAGGGTGATGGAACGCCGATTGCGAGATATAACAGAGGTGTCAGAGAATCAATTTGGGTTATGCCCGACAGGTCAACAATGGAAGCGATTTATCTTTTGAGGAGAGTAATAGAAAAGTATAGAGAAAAGAAAAGAGACATTCATATGGTGTTTTTCGACCTTGAGAAAGCATATGATAGAGTGCCCCGAGATATAATATGGTGGGTGTTAGAGAAGAAGGGGTGACAAAAGGTTACATTGATGTGATTAGGGACATGTATGATGGGATGGTGACCACTATTAGATCGCCTGCTGGAGAGACAAATGAATTTCCTATCACTGTTAGGTTACACCAAGGATCTACCTTAAGCCTTTATCTTTTTGCTTTAGTTATGGATGAGTTGACGAGAAATGTTCAGGATGACATGCCATGGTGTATGCTTTTTGCAGACGATGTCGTGATAGTGGATGAGACTAGAGAATGAGTTAATACAAAGTTGGAGATTTGGAGAAAAACTCTTGAATCTAAAGGTTTCCGGATAAGCAGAAATAAGACAGAGTACATGGAGTATAAATTTAATAACAGTGACAATGAAAGCAGAGGAGAAGTGAAGATTGAGAACCAAGAATTGCTTAAGAGTAGACATTTTTGTTATTTAGGGTCGATTATCACAACAGCAGGGGAGATTGATGCGGATGTGGCCCATAGGATTAAGGCGGGATGGTGTAAGTGGAGAAGTGCGTCTGGGGTACTGTGCGATAGACGAATACCTATTAGACTAAAAGTTAAGTTCTGTAGAATGGCTATTAGACCAGCGATGTTGTATGGACGGAGTGTTGGGCAACCAAGAAACAACATGCAGATAAGATGAGTGTGGCTGAGATGAGGATGCTAAGGTGGATGTGTGGCAAGACGAGACGAGACGAGACAGAATTAGGAATGAGTGTATTTGAGAATGGGCAGGAGTAGCACCGATAGAAGATAAGTTGAGAGAGAATCGATTGAGATGGTTTGGTCACATTCAACGGAGACCAACAGAGGCAGTAGTGAAGAGATGCGATACTGTAACAGTAGAGGGGAGTGTTAGGGGACGGGGTAGGCCTAAATTAACGTTGGCTAACATTGTAAATAGAGATTTGGAGAAAAATTCTTGAATCTAAAGGTTTTCGGATAAGCAGAAATAAGACAGAGTACATGGAGTATAAATTTAATAACAGTAACAATGAAGGCAGAGGAGAAGTGAAGATTGAGAACCAAGAATTGCTTAAGAGTAGACATTTTTGTTATTTAGGGTCGATTATCACAACAGCAGGGGAGATTGATGCGGATGTGGCCCATAGGATTAAGGCGGGATGGTGTAAGTGGAGAAGTGCGTCTGGGGTACTGTGCGATAGACGAATACCTACTAGACTAAAAGGTAAGTTCTATAGAATGGCTATTAGACCAGCGATGTTGTATGGAACGGGGTATTGGGCAACCAAGAAACAACATGTAGATAAAATGAGTGTGGCTGAGATGAAGATGCTAAGGTGGATGTGTGGCAAGACGAGATGAGACGAGACAAGACAAGACAGAATTAGGAATGAGTGTATTCGGGAATGGGCAGGAGTAGCACTGATAGAAGATAAGTTGAGAGAAAATCGATTGAGATGGTTTGGTCACATTCAACGGAGACCAATAGAGGCAGTAGTGAAGAGATGCGATACTGTAACGGTGGAGGGGAGTGCTAGGGGACGGGGTAGGCCTAGATTAACGTTGGCTAACGTTGTAAATAGAGATATGGATCTACTTAATTTGACTAATGAAATGGCTTTTGATAGGGCCGCGTGGAGAAGAAGGATTCATGTAGCCGACCTCATTTGATGGAACTTAAGGTTTGGTTTGGTTAGGTTATTTGGGGCACATTACCTCTCTGCTTTTTTGCACCTCTTTTGGTAAACAACAAAAAGTGCACTAAATAAGCAAACCCCAAATAACCCCTTATGTTGTGTGGTTCATTTAGGCTAAGTTTGGGAATCACATAAAATAGCCAAAAAAACCATAAAGTCACTACCAAAATGTCAACTCTGCTCTCTATTTTTCTGCACGTCCTTTCTTAAAAAGCTAAAAAGCCAACTAAAATAGTTAGTTCCCAAAACAACCCTTAGTTTGCTTCTGTTGCTAACTTTGTTGATTTAAGTAACATTTTGGTTTTTAGATTTTATTATTTGTGGTGTATGTTGGATAGCGTGATATACATTGTTTGATTTGGCGTCAAAGCTCTGAATCTAGGAGGCCATGAGTCAAGTTTTGTAGCATATATTTGTTCCTCGGTCATATTTGCTATTATGTACCATGTAATTTGTGCACCTTATGTTTGTTAACCTCTTCGTGCGCAATAGAGGGTCATACATGAGGAGAGTGGTGGATAGCTTGATACACATTAATAGATCCAATTCCTATTAGTTTAAGCCTTCGGGACAGTGGGTGATTTCACATGAAATCAAAGTTATGGTTTAGGAGGTCTGAGGTTTCAAGTCTCATATTGATTGCCCATTATTATTATTATTATTATTATTGGATTAAGTGAGAGATTTATTAAAAAAAGAAAGGAATACATGTATCATGGAGGGCATATTGTCACACTTTGGTTTTTAAAACATAATTTAAAAAGGTGTATTCATTTTATTAAATGTGGATGGTCTTAAGGCGTTGAAAAGTAAGTAGATCCCTTGTTCTAGAATGCTTTATTAGAAACCGAGCTTTTCATTTAAACAAAATAGATTTTATTTGAAATCATGGTTCATTAGTCAACATACGTCAAACTTTAACAAAAATTGAGTGGCATGTTCGTTGAATATTGGACCGAAATGGCCTTCTAGGCCTTAAGACAACCACCCGATCAAAATACATGCATTTCTACACAATCAAATTTGCTAAATTGTAAATGTTTATATTCTATTACATGCCCAAAAGAATTTCACATAATTCAAATGTGATTTAAGTACTAGTTACACAATCTCAAAGTAACCATATAAGTCCAAAAGAGAAGGGATCATATGTCCACAAATTGAGATTTGTAACCCAATAACAAAAGAATGGCCAATGGCAGTAGTGATTTATTCAATCTTCACAAAAAGGGTTTATGAAGTCCTGCTCCATTCATGACTCATGAGTTGCATGTGAAATTGTTAAAATAAGGGTGAACTCCAACAAGCTCAGTAGGAAACATTTACAATTCCTAAACATTTCTAAGGTGATATGTGCTAGTGAGCATGAATTAAAAAATACAGTTCAAATATGTCTATAAAGAATAATTAATAACCTTATCAGTGATGTTATACAAGTTACTACAAAATTGATTCAAGTTCATCTATTTATCCATTTAATTAATTCCACATTCAGCTTAAGCTTTGGGGACAATTGTTGATCTGACAGTGTACAACTTTGTGTTTTTTTTTTCATTTTTTCTTTGTCTGGATTTAGTCTTTTGGAGTTTGATAACCCCAGTAGATATAACTTATTCTGAAGTTTGTTCCTAATTCATTGTTTTTCCTTGATGTTCTGGAAAAATGTTTTTATAGTGGACACTATACAGTTCATTTTGATTATACATTTTTAGTTTTCTCTAATTTGTTTGAGGCTGTTGGTTTTAGGGATGAAGATTAAGACAGATACACCCATTGCAAAGAAAGCACGAGAGGGGGTTATGGAGTTTTTGTTGATGAATCATCCATTGGATTGCCCCATTTGTGATCAGGGTGGAGAATGTGATCTCCAAGATCAGTCTATGGCTTTTGGTTCTGATCGGGGCCGGTTTACAGAAATGAAAAGATCTGTGGTGGATAAGAATCTGGGTCCATTGGTTAAGACTGTTATGACTCGGTGCATTCAGTGTACGAGGTCAGTAACAAGTGTCATTCATTCAATATTTTTTTTGCTGTGAAATTAAAATACATTCTTTTAAGTGTTAAAAATGAGCAATTATTTTATTAGGTATCATGCCCTTTGATTTGCTCTCTCTCTCTCTCTCTACATATATATATGTGTGTGTGTATCTATAATTCTGAACATTGGAGGGGTGTTTCTCCAGAAACTTTCAGGCTGAGTAACAGTAAGTTGGAAACTTCAATTTTCTCACATTTGTAGGCATAAAATTTAGGCCAGTAGTGTTCTGGGAAAATTTATGTATTATGTTGAAGTTGTCCAATACCTAAACGATGGTGGATCAGTTTGTGTGGAACTTCCATAGTCCCATGATATCATAATGTGGGATGCAAATGATTGAATAATATATTTTTTCAAGTAATTTTTCATTAAAAAAGAAGGGAGGAAATTATTAAAATAAGAATTTGCCAGTTTTGGTTGTGAGTTTGAGGGGGTAAATAAACATCTTGTTTAGTGTCAGGGGCAGAGGGGGGGTTAAAACTAAAATGATCGACCCTCCCATTGCATAAGGATCTGGTTGAAATCCCATGCAATGTCAATTTTTTCATTCAACCCCCCCCAAAACCCAAATAGATTTGTGACATGTGTACATGGTTGAAATACTAAACTAAAACAACAACTACTAGGATTTTAAAGTTTACACAGCCAATCTAAAGTTGATTTCCTTTGGACTTCTTTTTTTTTTTTTTTTTTTGAAAAAAAAAAATTTAAATTTTAAACAATTACCCATCCCTGTAGTTTAGCCATTTAAGATACTTAGTAACAATGTCAAATCTTTATAATTCATTAAAAATTGCTTTATACACATTTTTTGAGTTGCAAGAGTCTTATAAATAATATTTTTTCTCTTCTCTATAGATTCAAACCTTTTTTTGAAGCAATTTATTTTCATACCAAAATGCTGAACTTTGATCTCAATAGTATTTACTCTGGCTCCCGGTTTAATAATCCTAGCTCCGCTCATTTCTAGAGGTTAAGAATCGTAGCTCCACTCCTGTCTAGAGTGTTAGATATATGTGGTATAGTTCTTGCCCTTTGAGAGCTTTTGAGAAAAGTCCATAGGAGGGTTTTCTAATTTCCTTTTGTTTTGTGTGCTTGCTTCTAAATTCAATGGCTATGTGGATTTTGAAAAGTTTGTGATGTAGACACCTTTTATCTGCAGATGTGTCAGGTTTGCAACTGAGGTAGCTGGTGTTCAAGATCTTGGCATGTTAGGTCGTGGCAGTGGAGAAGAAATTGGGACTTATGTTGAAAAATTAATGACAAGTGAACTTTCTGGGAATGTAATAGATATCTGTCCTGTAGGGGCCCTCACCTCGAAACCTTTTGCCTTTAAAGCCCGCAATTGGGAATTAAAGGGAACAGAGAGCATTGATGTCACTGATGCAGTTGGTTCCAACATCCGTATTGACAGTAGAGGTCCAGAGGTTATGCGCATTCTTCCTCGTTTAAATGAGGTAATAAGTTATTTTACATAATATTTATCTTTCCTTTATATAGTTTCTCAGTTCCATCTTCTTTATGGCATCTTTTCTACCTCTAATTTGCAATTTTGTGTTATGTGTCAATGACAATTATTGAAATGATTTAAGTTTCTCTTATCTAGATTCAGGATAACGTATAAGGGATTTAGGAGCTGGAGGCATATAAAATGATTTGAACCAAAATTAAGTGCATAATCAATATTAGTGGAGTTTAAGTTATTCATTTCTATTGCTTTTGTTTAGTTTTTAATGCACTAAAAAGGCTGTATCTATCTGAATGCTGACTATATTTATCAAGGTAATGTCTTGCAAAGTTCTATAACTCCATACTAGATGACGTGACAGTTATTTTTTTGATACAATATCATGACTTGTGAAAGGACCTAAAATAATTACTGAAAAGTGCCAAAAAGATTTACGTGGTGTCAATTAAAGCCATGCCTATGGATTATGTATTCTTTGGGTTGTATTGCTGTCCATGTTGAAGCTTTTAACCAAGGTTCTGAAAAGCGGTTGCGGCTGCGGTCGCGGCTGTGGTCGCCTTAATGGTGACGGTGGCGCGGTTGCAGTTGCAGGGTGTAAAGGTCGTAGCGTAACGGTTGCGGTAATTGGAACCGTGAATTTTTTTATTTTTCGCACAATTTGAAAAAAATTACCAATACGCATATTTTTTTCCGTGATCATATTTATTGGGTTTAAAATAAATATTGATCAATTTTTGTAAATTTTTAAGTATAATCCAATATATTTCATATTTTTAAACCATTTATAAACTGAGTTTTTTACATTTTATTTTAATAATCAATGACTTTATATTGTACAAAAAATCAATCACTAACTATTATATATAAGACAAACAATGACAAAAGTAAGGGAATAAATAAAAGCCTAAATATATATATATATATACATATTTTAACCAAGCCAAATAGATAATGACCACATTTATTATTATTATTATTATTATTTTCAAACAATATATAGATAGACATACAAACAAAATGGTTGAGTGATAGTAGCTAAATAGAATAACATAAGTCTTACAGCTTTAACAAATCAATAACATGTTCTTCATCTTCCCTCTTTTTTCTCTCTATCTCTTGCTCCTCCATCTTCTCTCTTTATCTTCTCTCTTCTCTCTGTCCCTTTTCCCCCATTTTTCAGCTTTTTTTTTGTGTGTTTTTTTCAAAAGAAGCAGTTCGGAATCGTTACGTAACGGTGCGTAATAAGCCGTTACAGCTGTTACGACACTATTACGACTGCTACGACTGCCGCTACGGCCGACACACCTGTGAATTTCAATCACACTGCAAAATCTGCCGTAACGGGTGGCGGTAACCACCACAATTGTTACGTAACGGTTGTGACCGCTTTTTAAAACCTTGGTTTTAACAAATCAATAACATGTTCTTCATCTTCTCTCCTCTCTCTTTATGTCTTTCTCCTCCATCTTCCCTCTTCTCTCTTTATCCCTCTTCTTCCATTTTCAGTTTTTTTTGTGTTTTTTTTGAAAGAAGCAGCTCGAAACCATTATGTAACGGTGCGTAATGGGCCGTTACGGTCATTACAGCACCGTTATGACCACTACGGCAGCCACTACGGCCGACACACCTGTGAATTTGAATCACACTGCAAAAGCGGCTGTAACAGGTGGCGGTAACCACCACAACCGTTACGTAACGGTGTTACGTAACGGTTGCAGCCGCTTTTTAAAAGCTTGCTTTTAACTAAGATGACCCTTCCTTCTGTATATTTTATTTTTTCATTTGAAAAGAAGTTTGATATTATTTGTTTTACAAAGATACACTGAGCTGCAAGTTAGGGAATTCGAACACTTTAGGGGTTTCCTTGCTAGATTTATGTGGTTTTCTAGCTTCTTTTGTTAATGTGCAAGGTTTTTAGCCTGATACACTGATCTATTGCAGGACATTAATGAGGAATGGATATCAGATAAAACACGTTTCTTTTATGATGGTCTGAAGAGGCAGCGGCTAAATGACCCTATGATTCGCGGTGCTGATGGGCGCTTCAAGGCTGTGAGCTGGCGTGATGCCCTTGCTGTAGTTGCTGAGGTCATCCATCAAGTTAAACCAGAAGAAATTGTAGGGGTTGCTGGTCAGTTGTCTGATGCAGAATCCATGATGGCACTGAAGGATTTCTTAAACAAAATGGGATCCAATAATATCTGGTGTGAGGGAAATGGCATGCATCCAAATGCTGATTTGCGTTCAGGATATCTCTTGAATAGTGGTATCAGTGGTCTTGAGAAAGCAGATGTTTTCCTTTTGGTCGGAACTCAGGTTGGTCCTTGCACCCTTTCTTTTAAGATGGCTACAATGTGTACAGTTTTTAATTACCATTGTCTATTGTTTGTTGTACGATTTTGAGGTATTTGGATGAGGACAGGAAGCATTGATGTTAAAAGCACAACTTTTTTGCACATCTAGGGATAGGTTGAGACAAGATTACATACAATTGTGCCCTTTGAGAATTTTGAACATTCATTGTTTTGATAGATAGTTGTTGCATATAGTGATGGAATGCATGTAGAAGTACTCTGAAGCTCACTGATTCTTCACAAAATATTGGTTAGCGTTATGTAGTTTATGTGACATTTATAGTATTTTTTATTTTTTGTAATCTGCGTAACATATACTTTCAATATGGGGATGATCATGAAGGTTATTGTAGAAGAAATAATGAGCTTTTATTCTTCCATTCTAAGCATTTATGCTTGTGTCGTAAATAATGTTAGTGTTAGGACTGGTATTAGGTTGGCAATTTCATCACTTGTATATGCAACCTCAGATAGAGCTCAAGTCACTACCATGAGGAGAGCACATTGGACAGCCTATAATATCTTGGAAGCTTGAAGTGCCATAGGAGATCTTCACTACCTAAGCCAAGGTTTGTCAGCTTGGTCAACCATGATGAGTACTGTGGTCGACATATGGAAGTCCAAAGCGAGTCCTACAGAATGGTCGACCATCCTAGTAAATGTAGTCTACCATGGTGAAAGTACCGAGAGTTGTAGCTAGCTCATATCATAGGGAAGATTATCTATACTGTATTCCCTATTCTTTAAAATATATATGTAAATATAAATACCATAAAAGTCTAATAATAAACAAAACGAATAAATATACGACCCAATGAATTTAATCTTCCTCCGATGGAATACTTTTCCAGATTAAACTCTCGGAAAATGCTAGACATCCCAAAAGATTTATCAAAATTTCTATTAAATGTCTCACATGGTGTCTCGTGGATACCATGTGGGTCCCACACCTATGTGAGACATTTGGTAAAAATTTTGGTAAATCTTTTGAGATCTCTAGCATTACTCTAAACTCTCTCCCTCGTTTCACTGGAGGAAAATTTGTGTCAAGTTCTATTACTATTAATGAGTAGCTTTGCGAATTCTTGTGGTCAGAGGCAAAAATTGACAATTTACAGTATGGTTGATCATAGTGGTTGATGGTTGGATTTATGTAGCCAAAAGTGTTTTTAAAGGCTCAAGGTGTACTAAGGCGCTGAAGGTCTCTCGGGGCCTAGGCGCAAGGTGAGGCGCGGGCTTTATTGAAGTAAGGCGCACAGTCTTAGTAAAAAATAGAAAAATTAACATAGACTAATCATTCATAGTACTAAGACAGTTTTTTTAAAAATAAAAAGTAATCAAGATTCAAGACAAAATATAGAATAATTCTCAAAACCATGAAAGTGCATATTACATAACATTTTAAACATCCAAAAACATAAACATAAACGCAAGGCGAGGCGCGGGCTTTATTGAAGTAAGGCGCACAGTATTCGTAAAAAATAGAAAAATTAATATAGACTAATCATTCATAGTACTAAGACAATTTTTTTAAAAATAAAAAGTAATCAAGATTCAAGACAAAATATAAAATAATTCTCAAAACCATGAAAGTGCATATTACATAACATTTCAAACATCCAAAAACATAAACATAAACATAAACACAACATCCAAAACATAAATATCTAACAAATACTAATATATGTCTTAACACTTAAAAACATCAACATCAAAAGAAAGGGTAGGTTAGGTCAGTCAGTCAATCATCATCCTCTACATCAATGGCAAGCAAACTATCATCTTCTTCTCCATCAGTTGATTTGTATCCCTCAGCATCTTCCTCCTCTGTGTCATCTGAGCCCGCTTCCTCTTCATCTATTAATTGAAGTAGAGTTAATCTTGATGATTTAGATATCCTCGGTTGTGCCTTTGAGCGCAAACTTGTTGCTCTACTTGCATGGCTACTTTCTTCTACTCCAGAAGCTCTAGCAACAGTAGCCCACGTCAAGCCATCATCATTATCAAACACAGGCTCATTATCTTCATCTGATTCTCCATCCATCCTCCCAAGCAACCACTCATTGCTTTCATCAATATTTTGCAAAGATATGGGATCAAGAGTGTTGCGCATGTCATACATAAATCTCAATATTCTATTATATTTGACAAACACTAAATCATTGAGACGTTGCTCCTATCTATTTCTTTTCTTGCTATGAACTGCAAGTATTAAAAAGATATTAAATTCTATATAATGAGAATAAAAAATATTTGAATTGAACAAAAAATTAGTTAGAATGTTAAATACTCACATGTTCAAAGACACTCCAATTTTGTTCACAACCCGATGAACTACACGTTCGGCTAAGGACTTTTATGGCAAAAGTTTGCAAGTTTGGAGTTTTAGAACCATATGATGCCCACCAATCAGCTGCGATAATCCACTAGTTAGAAATAATTGTTACCAAGTATTGAATTTTATTAAAAGTATTACTAAAAATAAACTCTATGAGTCTACAATATATTACCTGGTGCCCTTGTATTTCTTTGCCTAATCGCAATAGACTTGTTAAAAAGACTCTCAGCCTTCATATAAATGCTCATCTCATTAGTGATCAAATCTTGAACAGTGACATCCGGGACCAACCTTTGCATGTATTCATAAAACCCATTCATCATTTCATGATCTTTTTGCACCTCTAACGCTTTTGGGTAAAAGAATTCTGGGTTAAGAAAATGTGCAGTTGCATGTAAAGGCCGATGCAATTGGACATTCCATCTTTTGTCGATGATTTGAAAGATTTCAGTATACTTCTCTTCTTTATGATTAAATGAACTTGCAATGCATTCTTTTGCCCTATCCATTGCCTCATAAATGTATCCCATGGGAGGTTTCTTCTCGGTATCAACCAATCTAAGCACTTTGACGAGAGGACCCGAGACCTTAAGGGCAAACACGACAGTATTCCAAAATGAAGGCATCAACAAAGTTTGTGCCATTTTTTTATCTTGTGGCTCCTTTGCCCATTTGCTTGAGGTCCAGTCTTCTGAGGTGACCATCTTTCTCAAATTGTTTTTTTGTTGATGCATCCTAGACAAAGTCAGAATGATGGTTGCAAATCTAGTTTTTGCAGGCTTGATCAAATTCTTCAGATTTGTATAACGCCTCATCACGTTTAGCAACGTAGGCCGGTTGTAAATGTAGCCATGTACCGCAATACCCCTTTCAAATGTCTTTTTTAGTCTAGGTATCTTGAAAATGTCTTCTAACATCAAGTCCAAGCAATGAGCAGCACATGATGTCCAATACAAGTGTTCATACTTGGTTTCCAAAAACCTTCCTATAATGTAACAATTACGAAATTTTTTTTTTAAGTTTTTAAATTTTAAATGAAAAACAAACTACGAGTAAACAATTTTGACGTAAGGAATGAGGAAATATTCTTACCCACCAACACATTAGTTGCAGCACTATCAGTGATAACTTGCACCACATTCTCTTTTCCAACTTTCTCCACAAACTTGTCTAGTAATTCAAATAACTTCTGCCCATCCTTTGAATAGCTAGAAGTATCAACCGACTCAACAAACATGGTTCCTCTTGGACAATTTGCTAAAAAGTTAATCAATGTCCTTCCTCCCTTGTCAGTCCAGCCATCAGCCATTATGGAACACCCGTATTTTGCACAATGTTCTTTATGATTCTTCATCAAATCTTCAGTATGTTTCACCTCTTTTTTGAGTTGGGTAACTCGCACTTCATGGTAAGTTGGTGGCTTCATACTGGGACCATATTGCCCAATAGCTTCAATCATTGGTCCAAAACTCTCATAATTTATTGCATTAAAAGGGATACCAGTATCATACATCCATCTAGCAAATCTTTGCACTGCCCGAGCTCTCATTTCTTTTTTGTAAGGGTCATTCGCATCAATTTTGGTTTGCTTCCTTTTTGCTTGGTCTCTTCGATTTTTCACCATTGATTCAGGATTGGATGTGAAGTAAACATCCATAGGCCCTTTTCTCTTTAGCATTTTTAAATTAGTTTTGGATTTGGATGAACTTTGGCTGCTACTTGCCAACTTACGGCGTTGATTGACATTGATCTCAACATCTTCATCTTCATCTTCATCTTCATCTTCCATGTCCATGTCATCAAAATCAGGCAGCATATTCATTTCTTCTTTTTGTGTCTTCTTTTTTGACATGAACTCTCTAATCTCTTCTCTTACGTGAGCTGGACATTTCGGGCAAGCAGTGACATTCCTATAACCTCTCGCGAGGTGTTGTTTCACCCGACAAACACCTCCATTTGATACTTTACTACAAAAATTACACTCAAACTTGTTTAAATTATTCTCCTCTACCAAATGGGCATGTTGCCATGCCGGATCTTTTCTATTACTTTCCGATGATGTCATTTTCTACACAACAAATTTAATAAATGGAAAATAATCTCAATGTAATGTAAGTGTGATTAATTGTGTAATGTAATGGAAAATAATGTGTAATGGAAAATTACACATTAGCACAGACAGTGTATTAATTAATGAAAAATTAATTAGTACAATGTAATGGAAAATTACACTCAGTGAGTGTAATGTAATGTAATGGAAAATAATGTAATGTAATGTGTCAATTTAAAAAATAATTAATGTAATGTAATGTGTCAATTAAATTTAGAAAATAATGTAATGTAAACAGAGACTAAATTATTCTATTTATTTATTTTTTTAAAATTATTCTAATTAATGTAATCTATTTTTTTTTTGTTTAAATTATTCTATATATTTATTTATTATTATTTTTTTTTAACAGACACTCAAAGGCATAATTGAAAAAAAAAAAAAAACAAAAACAAAACTGAGCAGAGTAGAATCAGCGATGAAGACAGAAGAAGGAGAGAAGAAGAAGAAGGAGAGAGACGATCGAAGTCGAAGAAGCCGAAAGAGAAGAAAAAAATAAAAAAATAAAAAATAGACGACACAGACCTGGAAGTCGAGAGAGGAAGACGACAAACACCTGGAAGTCGAGAGAGGAAGACGAAGTCGAAGTCGTAGCCCAGCCAGTCCAAGTCAAAGTCGTAGCCCAACCAGTCCAAGTCGAAGTCGAATCGAAGTTGAGAGAGGAAGTCGAAGTCGAAGTCGAAGTCAAAGAAGAAGAAGGGGGGAGAGAGAGTCGAAGTCGAAGAAGAAGAAGCCGAAAGAGAAAAGAAAAAATAAATAAATAATAGACGACACAGATTAGAGATTCGAACACACACCTGGAAGTCGTAGCGCACTTGGAAGACGAAGTCGAAGTCATAGCCCAGTCCAAGTCGAAGTCGAATTGAAGTCGAGAGAGGAAGTCGTATTTCGTTTCGAAGTTGAATCGAAGTCGACATAGATTAGGTTGCGCCTAGGCACACTTTTCACAACACTGACCCGAACCCATTTGACGGGACTTAAGGCTTGGTTTGGTTTGGTTTGGTTTGGTTTATAGTGGTTGATGGTTGACCCCGATGACGTATGGTCAACCACACTTCGACCCAACAACCCCATTTGGGGTCTCTTGACGAGCGGAAGGCACCAAAAGCTATAACACAACTCTTATAGACCCTCATACGTATTTGAGTGTGAATTCTACCTTGGATAGAGAGTGCAACCTTCATTCCTTCAACACAAATCCTCCAACAGCTTGCTTCAAGGGAGTCTCAAAGTTCTTTGCTTGTAGATGGGTATAAACTCATCTCTTTATTGTAGTATATAGACTCTATTGATACCACACACCACACTTGTCTCACAGAGAGACTTTGTTGGGGCTTAAGGGTATTGTTTCCCCTTGTTGAAGCCCATTTTCTAGATTTGTAAAATATTGTGAAGTGGTAGGTTTGTGTTGGGAGGTTGCAGTTTTTTTGGTTGATCCTAAACCCATTGTATGTTGTGGTAGAGGTTTTATCCTAGCAAAAATCCTTGAAGGAGTGGTTGTAAAGGTTTTGGGTGTAGGCTAGTCGTTGAACTACTCTAAATCTTGGTGTTCATTTCTTTAGTAGTTGCACTTTTTAATTTGATTATATACATTGATGATATTTTGAGATGAATGTATGGTAAATATGTTGTACCCTACCCTTGCTTCAAGTTGAATTATGAATAGATTGGGCCTTCAGTGATTAAAGGAATTAATTTGATAGACATAGTTTGTTCTTGGCTCTAGAGTTGAAACCAATACCCAACAAATCCCTTAGGTTGTGCTAAATAATTAGATAACACTTTAATTAAGGGCTAAGTTTGATTAAGAATCTTGAAGTGTGTCAATAGTGAAGGAAAAAAACTACAATATGTACGAAATTTTTTGGAGTTTCCTATTTACCCCACTTACCTTTAGGACACACTTTCAGATTATAGCGGGCATTAGCTTCTGAATAGCCAATTGCACAAGCTGTCTTTTTGCGAGGGGAACTAATTATGTTTGGTCACTTCAATATTGTTAAATAAGTCATTCTGTATTCTTTTTCATTTAGTTGAACCCACCTGATTGGGACACAAGACTTTGGTTGGATTTGGTTTTATGGACATGCATGGTCATCTATATGCATATAAATAGACCATAATTAATTTTCCTTCCAAGTTTAAGATTTCTTTTTTGGGATCTCTACATTTTGGAGGATATCTGCTTACGCTGTTCTGTGACAAACATTTTGGGGTAGAATTTAAGATGGAAGTGTGACAATACGTTATTGTGAAGATGGAATTTGTATTGCTCGATTTATTAGCATTAGGGATCATGTTTGTAGAGGTCTGAAATGGTTATTTCTTTTAAGGAAATGGCAAGAATGTCACTTATGCTTCATTTGGATGGATATGGATTTGAAATCAATTGATTTGAGATTAAATTCTACCGAAATAGAGGAGAGTTTCTTATTATAGGTAAATTGATAAACTAGAAGGGAAAGTAGGTTATTACAACTAGAATCTTTTTTTCAAAGGATTTCAAATAACTACTTCTACATTGTTATTTCCAAATCCATCATAGTGAAGCTCTCAAATTCACCAAGGAAATACATATCTAAACTACTAAATCTAAATGTGATACTCTTTGAAAAATGAGTGTCAAATACCTTCATTTCAAATCAATAAATCCAAACACAACCTTGGTGTGTCATGGGGTGGTGAAGAAGGTGGTCAAGCAGCATTGTCTCGTTGATTTAACATTTGAAGTGTGCTTTTAGTTCAATATTTTAAGACTGTGTTTGGATCATAGGTTTGGATAGGGATTTGAAAAGGGAAAAGGAAAAGGTAAGTGAAATGTGAATGAAATATAACTACATTTCACCCACCTTTTCCCGTTTCCTTTCCAAATCCCTATGCAAATCTATGATCCAAACACAACCTAAATAAAAACATTTACCCAATGATGTTGAAAGCCTTGAACAGTAAACTTCTACTTTTATGCCTTAATTATACTTCTGGATCTCATTCCAAACAAAATATATTTATACATATATGGGTAAGGAGTATATGTAATGAAAATACTAACCAATATTTAACCTCATTCAAAAGCTGATGAATGTAAAATACAAATTACACTTGCCTTTTTATTCTGGAAATGACCTATGGGCTCATGTCTTGTCCTGGCAGTTGATCTGTTTAAGTTTAAATCTGAACAGTGAATTAGGTAGTGTGTCAGGAGTCCTTGAGAAGTTGGGGAACATCATAAACAAACTAGGGTGCATCTCTTGCATTGTCATGGTTAAGAGACTTTGCTGCTGTTGGGAAATCTACCCAGTGATTTGACAATAACTTGTGCTGCCATGAATCTATGGAAATTAATAATAGGGGGAGCTGATAATTTTTTTCTCATCTGAAAGAAAATAAAGAAATGTTTACGTTGTCTTACTGGTGAAATATGGTCACTTGCGTTGAATTTTTGGAATTGGTTTAATGGATTAGCAGCTTTGGGACTTCACAATTATTTTATAAGCTGCATGGATGTGTTTACCTTTGTTGTTTGCTCCTTCTTGTGACTACTTAATGATTTGGGGTGGGTGGGCAAGGTTTGTTCTGATCCCAAATTTACATATTGAATTGCCAGCCAAGGGTTGAAGCTGCCATGGTGAATGCAAGAATCAGAAAAACAGTCCGAGAAACCCACGCTAAGGTGGGCTACATTGGCCCACCAACTGATTTCAACTACGATTACCAGCACCTTGGCACAGGTCCTCAAACACTATCTGAAATCGCTGAGGGTCGCCATCCCTTTTACTCTGCCCTCTCAAATGCGAAGAACCCAGTCATCATTGTCGGTGCCGGGATCTTTGAGAGGAATGATAAGGATGCAATTTACTCAGTTGTTGAAACTATTGCAAAAAAAGGGAATATTATCAGACCAGACTGGAACGGTCTCAATGTATTGCTTCTAAATGCTGCCCAAGCTGCTTCGCTGGACCTTGGACTCGTGCCTAAATCTGAACACAGTATTGAATCTGCAAAGTTTGTGTATTTGATGGGTGCTGATGATGTGAGCTTGGAGAAAGTTCCGAGTGATGCGTTTGTGGTTTATCAGGGCCATCATGGTGATCAGAGTGTGTATCGTGCCAATGTCATTTTACCAGCGGCAGCATTCACCGAGAAGGAGGGTACATATGTAAATACAGAAGGGTGTGCTCAACAAACTCTGCCTGCAGTTCCCACTGTTGGTGACGCGAGGGATGATTGGAAAATAATTAGGGCTTTGTCTGAGGTGGCAGGGGTACGTCTGCCTTACGATACTCTTGGGGCTATCCGGAACCGGATAAGGACTGTGGCACCGAATCTCTTGCACATGGACGAGAGACAACCGGCTACTTTTTCTGCTTTATTGAAACCTGAGTCTGGCAACAAGATGAGTTCGACTCCATTTGGGACTGCCGTGGAGAATTTCTACATGACTAATTCAATCACGAGGGCATCAAAGATAATGGCACAGTGCAGTGCAATGCTCTTGAAGAAGTAGCTGATTTGATTACTACATCCTTGTAATAAAGGTGCAGATTTAACTGTTTTTTGTGCTCCGGTTATTTCTGTTTGAGCCGTTTAGCAATTTTTGTTTTTGTTTTTGTTTTTGTTTTTTTGGGTTTCTCAAAATTGCACTGCCATGGTGGACTTTTGATGCTCATAAATGGCAACTGTTGATCTATGGTTTGTAATTCTGTAATTTAGAGTATGGGGCTGTTGTCTTACACTCTTATTAACAGTTGGAAGATATCTGTTCTGATCTTGGTTGCTTCTAAAACGGTTGGGTAAATTACACTGACAACCCGGAGTTTTGTGCCGATGTGATTTCCTTTTTTTTTGTTTTTGTTTTTCTTAAAGATAGGTCATCTGTCAATTACACCTTGACCGTTTAAAAGTTACATCCTCCTCTTTGAGGTTTGTAATTGCATTATAAATTGTCCATGTTATGCAACTATTGGTTGTTGTTGATGTGGGCATTTAAATATTTTAATAAGTCAATTTTACCCCTACATGGAGTTAATGAGCCTATTTTTTAAAGAAAATGGTGGGTTGTCGGTGGTGGCTATGAACAGCAGTGGGGGCTATCAGTTGATACCTCCCTCCACCCTTGTTGTCTGCCCTTTGTCTCTCTCTCTCTCTCTCTCTCTCTCTCTCTCTCTCTCACTCACTGTGAGCCACCATATATCAAGAATGTTGTTATTTATCTTTAATCTTGTTGCACAGGCAGCAGTTGATGATACCGGCATTAAACAAAAATCAGCATAAAAGTATTTGCTTTTGTTTGGTTTCTGTTGCAGGGGAGCCAAGCTCATCATGGCCACTCCATATTATTAAACTGAAGTTCAGGGATTTGCTTCCTGCTATAAAATCATGGTAAAATGTCAAATTTACCAGATTACATTAAGATTTGGATGCTCTCCCAATGAATATTTGCTTTGATATTTGTGCTATATGAGAAAGCCAAGATATGTTTGTATTTTCGATTGGTTCACAAGCGTCTTACCATACATCTCCATCCTGCTAAATCATAACCATATTCTGTAAATATAACCGGCTGTTGTTTCAATTATTTTGGATGAATCAGATATGGTGAAGATGGTAGTCATGGTGGTGGGCCTGTGGAGGTGGAGGTGGAGGTGGAGGTGGAGGTGGAGGTGGAGGTGGTGGAGTAGGTGGGTGGCTGATTTTGTGAGAGAGAAAGAGAGATTAGTTTGGTATTTTCAAAATTTTAATTTAGAGCATTAAGGTCATGTCAATATTTCTCTTTCCTTCTGTTAAAACACAAGCAATTGACAAGAAACAACAGTATAACTTCTGAAATGTCAAAGATTGTATTAATCTAAACTTGAAGGTGGTGTCAGTATAATTTACCCAAAACAATTCAATGCAGGTGGTTCATAAATAGTTTCGTTTCTTTTAACAGCAAACCAAATCCTACTTTGTAATATTTTCAATGCAAACCCGACTTTAATTTCAAACTACATATCTGGTCCGCCATATCTCATGATGTCCACCAAAAGACACAAAAATCCTTCTCCTAAGTCATCAATGCCAAGCCATTAAATGATGAGGTGTTTCCTACATCCACACATCAGAAACTACTCTCCCGTTATGAAAAGCCAAATAGGTTACACTCCACATTAAGCTGCTGCCTCTGGCTATATCAAGAAGTGTTATTGTTAGTAAAATTTGTATTTAGGCCTAATTGACAGAGACTTAACAAAACATTTACCAAACAATCAAAAGAAATCAGGCAATCATGTTGAGGTTCAATGCCTTGAAACATACAAGGAAATCTTTGGAACAATGACAGAACAAAAGTAAACAAAGGACAATTTCAATTACAACTTCAAAGTTTACAAGCATGAACTGAAAATTACAAGGCTAAAACTACTAATATAATCTATTCCTAAAACTACTTATGCTAGTTTGATGTGTTGTGTGTTGATATGCCTCTGCTCTTGCCTTCGACTGCCTTTTATAGTCCCTTCAGCCTCAGGCTCATCCTCATCCTCATGCTTTCCTGCTTTGTAGCCACTCTGCGAGTCATGGGAAACCATGTCCCCCATTTTATAGCCATATATCATTTGGCCTTCCATTCTCTATGCCTAAACTGCCCATAACCACTGCTTTCTCCTTCATTTCTCATGCTAACATCACTATCTCTGCTGCCTTGCCACGTGTCACCTGTCACCTTACACCCCTTTTGCTGCCATGTGTCATCAATTACTGCCATTTCCAAATATGGGTGCAAACAGTTATAATCACAAATCACTTTGTACAGTTCTCAAATTTGTTTAATCTGGATTTAGTACACAGTTATTAGGTGAAATACAGTTCAAATTTCTTCCAAACTGAATTTCTGAGGAAAAATAACAAAATCATAGTTATTAGGCTGGGAATGGGACTTGGGCTTGCTGCCCCAATCAGATAGGGTTTTATTGCTTTTATGAGCTGCCTCCTGTCTCTTTCCACCTCTCCTTCACAGACACACTGACGCACAATGGTGAGCTATTGATATTATCATCACACAACCCGCACACAGCCATGAGCCATGAATATTGTCATCACCATTGCAGCCACTGTTGTGGGCTTACCCTATAGCTGTTTCCATCTGCGTTATCTTTGGCTGTTTCCATCTGCGTTTTCATCTTTTGTATTGAAATAAATTGTCCTTAAAGGTAATTTATTTTGTATTGAAATAAATTTTGTCCAAGGTAATTTATCTTGAGGGTATATTTGTAATAAAAAAAAGTCATAATTTGGTGGATGTATTGAGATAGAAGTGTGGTGTAAATAGAAACTCCATAGGACACCAGAAACTCTGTTAAGTAAAATTATAAAAATACCACGATCTAAAAAACATATGTATCTATTGACTAGTTCCTCTTCTCATAAATCCTCAAAGAAACAAACCGAGACAAATTTTCCCTTCTCATTGGATCATTGACTCAATTCAAGAATGCCTTGAATGCCAACAACTTCTAGACATACTGGAGTCTCAAATTATCATATTGTTAATAAAAATCTAACTGAGCACGATACTACATGCTATAGCACAAATAATGAGGCAAATTAAGCTAGCCCCTAAGACAAATTGGAGGATTATAATAGAATTTCCAAGAGCACAATTATAAAGCTTTGAAGTGACATTACTCATTCCATTTTAACATGTACCTGGGCATGTTTTACCTCTTGATTTTGAAATGACCAACCAATGAATTACACTCTATACCTAAACAATTCTCCAATAGATAAAAATCCCTCACTAATTATCCAATTTTATCATTACATCTTGTTCTTGATTTAACATATTAACTCTCACACGCGCACACATGAGAATTCATGTAAAAGTGAAAGAGATTCTAATCAGCAAGAGATATGATAATATAGAAGAAATCCAAAAAAACACTCTTTGGTCTCTCTTGCATGGCTTTTGATAAGGGTTCTTATTGCAGCATAGCTAGCAATCACATCAATAGTTATAGAAAGCTTATCAATCATCTCACTAACAGGAGAAGGTATAGCCAACATTTGAATTCAGGGTGCAATATTAGTACATGTACCTTGGGAGGGCATTACGCTGCTACTTTCTCTAGATGACCACCAGGCAAAGCAGATTTTTCATGCCTTTTCCTGCAAGGCAAAATAAGTTTGTTGGCGTTTGAAGTGTGATAGTAGTTTGGAGGGAAAGCATCATAAAGATGGCATATAAAAAGGAAGCAAACTGGGATAAAAATAAAACACCAAGGAGTTTTTAAGTTCTCTCCACTTTTTTCAGTTTCTCCACCAAGTGCAAAAGTTTTAACACAACCAAACATATGGAACCCCAATACTTTTTAAAGGATTCTACTCAGTAATGGATACTCAATTCTACAACAGTACGGTTGGATAAAACCTAATTACTCATACCACTACCACTACGATTGGATCAAATAGTGAGGTCATCTTTTTATTTATTTATTTTATTTTATATTTTTTTATCAGCAACAAAAAAGAAATATTACAAAATAAAAAAGTACAAAAAGATACAAAATTATACATAACACCCAAAAAGAAAGAAAAGGAGAATCGAAATCACACATCACACACCACTCCACAATCTCTAGAAATCAAAACAAAGGGATCTCCTTGAAAGGAGATAAAACTGCACCCCAAAAAGAAGACAAAAAATTATATGCCTCAAACTATGAAGCACGGGTACTCCAAAAATGGTGCCGTACAAGTACTCGATACTTACTAGATGCGAGGACGTGTACTAGTATGGCTATACGTATACCGGATATGGAAAATACATACTAGGTACGGCAAATACGTTTGGGTACATTGTGGGTATGGCATGAGTATAGCACGGGTACGACAAGGTAATTTTTTTTTTTTTTTTGCAACTGCTAGAATTTATTACAGCCTTTATTATTCTTCTTTCAACTTCGAAAATCATCAAGTAATATATTTCCAACATCCTTTATCCATGAGTCATGATTTTGCTCTCTTTTGCATCATGTTTTAGACAATCAAAAAAGAAAAAGCAGGAATTATATAATTTTTCAGACAAGTTGTTCTCTTTTTAATTTTGATATTAAAACTTTGATTTATATGTTAGATGTTTAACTATAAATTAAAAAAAAAAAAAAAAAATTGGTGTACCCCAGCCGTACCAGTACCTTACTTTTTAAAGAATTTTGCCGTATCAACATACCCGTATCGTACCCGTATCAGTACCCACACCCGTGCTTCATAGGCCCCAAAGCATCTAATTCTTTAGACTTGAGAGTTCAATTTTTTTGCTTAAAAGGGATTGTTTTTGTCTCCTTGTATCCTTGCCTTGTAGAGACTATTCCTTACGTGATTTTATAGACTTTTTTTGCGGAGTTGTATATTTTTTGTTTTTTGTATCATCCTATTTACAGGGCTGCGCCCACTTTTTATATTTACATATAAAAAATAATATGTAAAGATGCCAGGGAATACAATTAATTCAACAGAACTTACTTCTCATAAAACTTAATAATTGACCTTGGCCTCTCATAATAACCACCTTCCTTCGCTTGAGGCTTCGTCTTTGCTGCATGCCTTGATTCTGGTTTCCAACAGGCTTTAGTGAGTGACTGACCCAGTAAGTCAGCAATATCAGTTGCCATTGCCTCAGCCTTCTTCACATAAGGAAAAGTTTCCTCCTTGAAGTGGTGTGACAACCATAAATACATAGACAACACCTGGTGCTTAGTCTCAAGGTCCAAGAGTTCAGAATCATTACGAGCAGAACATTGTGGCATGCCCATTGCTATACTAACAGGCAAGTTTTGGGCATACGATGAAGCGAACCTTAGCAGATGATACATTGCTTTTGGATCTCTTATATTAACCGGAGCAAAGCAAAAGTTGAAACGATCTTCAAGAGATAATCCCTGAACCTTCTCCAACATGTTAGCAACCTTCTTTATATGGCCATGCTGGCACAAGAAGTAAGACCCATCCAAACGGCAACTTTCACTAAACTTCTCAAGTAGCTGGGGGAAAGTAACATTTGGAAGTTGCCCTGCAAATAACTCCACCTGCTCAAAGAAAGGAAAGAGACCCACTTTCGTAATGTCATCAAAAGGTTTCTTTAAACATTCAATTAAATAATCCAAGTCATCAAGATGCAAGGTGGTTGTCAGCCCATCTGGATAGAGACTTCCTCTCCGACCAGCTCTTCCTGCAATCTGCTTTACCTGGGATGGGGGAACCGGAACGATCTTGTCACCATTGTACTTTGAAAGGCTATAAAAAATGACCCTCCTGATATTAAGATTCAAACCCATTCCAACTGCATCACTAGCAACCAAAACGTCAAATTGACTATCTTGATCATTAAACAAGTTAGCTTGATGCCTACGAGTCTCTGGGGGTAATGCACCATAAATAACACAACAACGATGATTTGTGTGCTTCTCAATTGCTAATTTCACCTCAAATATTTCTCTCCTTGAGAAAGCAACAACACAGTCTCCAGATCGAACATTTCGAAGATCTCCCAAAAGGGTCTTGGCTTCAACCACTAATGGCTTGAATCTCTCATAATGGTTTTCATACAACTCATCTCCACTGTCAGAACATATTTTTCGAACAATATTCAAAACGCTGGGATCCCCACACAAATGTATCTCATCAGCCTTCAAACCAAGCAAAGCCCTCGTCCAAGCATAACCTCTATACGAGTCTGCCATCATTTGAATTTCATCAATAACAGCCACATCATATAATTCATCCGTGGATACCATTTCCACCGTACAAGCAACATGGTCTGAAAACGGAACATGTTTCTTTTCTTGCCCTGTAAGAAGACTACAATAGACGCCGAGTGCATTCACCTTATCAAAAACTTCCATCGCCAACAGCCTAAGAGGACTACAATAAATACCCTTCTTCGCTTCCATAAACCGCTGCAAAGCATTATATGTTTTCCCACTATTAGTTGGGCCACAGTGATATACAATCTTGCGTTTCATTGCTCGAGCAAATGGAAACCAAGTGTATGGCTTTGTAAGGTCTGCTGACTCAATCATACTCCTAAACCGCCTAATTTCATCTGGAAACTCCTCTATGCAAAATTCAACAAATATTGGGAAAAGGAACCGGTCAGCCGCATCGCCAGGACCAAGTGAAACCAAGTACTTGGCAACATCCGTCTGACATTTCTTGAAGAAAAAATTCCGAAACTTGTGTGCAGCTGCAGGGAAAAATGACGCTCCAATATACACAGCCAGTGCCTGATTGGATGCCCAACCCGATTTCGAAAAACTACGGAAGATTTCAGTGAGTGTACCCCAATCACCCCGAGTTTGCTTCTCAGCCTTGCTGGCATTACGAAATTCCCTATAAATTTCAGCTGGATCACGGGCTCCAACATACACGTATCCAGCAATTGTTTTCGAACCCACTTCACCGTCAGCGGTCTCATTGCACTCGGATTCAATCATAGTTGATTCAAGACCATTATTTTCATTTTCGACCAGTGTTGAAAATAGTTGTTTGCTATACAGTGAGAGCTTAGATTTTGGGTTATGAGAGGTTAGTTGATTGATTAAGGAAGTTGAAAATGGCAGGTGGGTTGGGCAAAGTGGGGATTTTTGGGGGTATGAGGGATACAATTCTCGGCATGGGTTTGAATGGAAGAAGAGAACCCTAGCCCTAGAGAGGTTGTTTTTGGATGAATATAAACGCAATAGATATGATACAGGGCCTCTCGCCATGAAAATAAAGTTACATATAAGGAAATGAAAAACAGAGAATGAAATCAAAAACACAAAGCCAGTGATTGTGGGGATAATTGAACCCGGAACATACCTGGATAGGATGAAAGCGAAATTCGAATGGTTGAGAGAGAGAGAGAGAGAGAGGGGAATGGTTGGAGTTAACCCACCCAAAAGCCTAAAAAACAGGAGGCTTTTCCCATATTAGCCAAATTACCATCTTAATTTTTAAGTTTAGTCTAGTTTGGATGGAATTTTTAAATTAGTCTAAAATGTTATTACAAATTATGTTTTCATTGTTTGGAGTAGAAAATTTGATAAACAGTGAAAGCGTTATTATAAATCACGTTTTTAATTAAGAAAGTGTGGTTACAAACCACGTTTTTAACATAAATTTGTTTTCTGAAGAAAGTATGGTTCCAAACCATGCATTTACTGTGCATATTGTTTAATTTGCTTTCTGAAGAAAACGTGGTTCCAAACTACGCTTTCACTGTGCATGCAATTTAAGTTTGTTTTTGAAAGAAAACGTGATTGTGAATCACGCTTTCAATGTTCACTACAATAAGCGTGGATTGAAACCACGCTTTCACTGTTCACTACAATAAGCGTGGATTGAAATCACGCTTTTACTGTTCATTTAAATTTTATTTTATTTTATTAATTTTAATTTTTTTTTTCTATTGTCATTGTTTTGGTAATAATGTAATTCATAAAATTTTTTTGACTTTTCTAAAGCTGTTCTCATGTTAAATTTTTTTTTTCTTGTCTTTGTTTTGAGTTAGAAGGTGTAATTCAGGATTTTTTTTTGGCTTTACTAAAGCCGTTTTCATGTAATTTTTTTTTTCTTTTGTCTTTGTTTTGTGTTAGAAGGTGATAATGTAATTCAGAAATTTTTTTTGACTTTACTAAAACCGTTTTTATGTAAAATTTTCTTTTTTTTCTTTTGTCTTTGTTTTGGGTTAGAAGGTGTTATTCATAAATTTATTTTGGCTTTACTAAAACCGTTTTCATTTAAATATATATATATATATATATATTTTTTTTTTGTTTTTGTTTTTGGTTAGAAGGTGATAATGTAATTCAGAAAACCGATTTAGTAAAACCATTTTCATTAATTTTTTTTTTTCTTTCGTCTTTGTTTTGGGTTAGAAGGTGATATACATGGTCTATAGTTCAAAGCACACCCAGACACTGTGTAGTTCGACGAACAACGACAAAGGGTGAGATGCGAAGAGCACCGCGGAGTAGGCCAAGAAGACGAAGGCCACCGCGAGAGCTGCAGCAAGAAGGAAGAAGAGAAAGATCTCAAATTTTGGTGATGTATTTTTTACATATGAATGATACTTTTTCCGTTTTTTGCTATGTAATGTAACTTGTATGTAATTTGAATTCCGATTACGAACATGAACTTATGTAATGTAAATATTGGGTTGGAGTTGATGTTATTGTGATTCAATTGGTTTCGCTTATTTCATAAGACTGATGTTGTGCAATGAATGAATGAATGGAAAGATTATTTGTTTTATTCAATTGGTAGTGTATTTTTTGTAAGAATGAGAACGTTATTTGTTATATTCAATGAATAATGGCTACATTTTTGAGTTATCACGATTGAGAAGATGAAGAAGTTAAGAGAATGTCTATTTCTCCTAAAATAAATTTTGTCAATATTTTTGTAATAAAACTTAATACATAATATACGAAGTCACTAATTTACTAAATACTCATACAGGTATGAAAACAACATAACTGAAGTTGCAAATGTAACAGTTTCCAGTTACATTGGTAGTACAGACATAAGTCTGCCACAAAAATACATTCTGGACACCATGAACTAAACACACAATACATACATCCTGGACACCCTGAACTGAACACACAATACATAAACATAACAGTTAGACAGACAACTATTAGGTAGACAATCTGACAAACTCATTACGGAAACACTTAGTCTAACACAGACATTACATATTAATGCATGATCTAATATTGCCGAAGTATACACATTAACACCTAATTCGCGCTTAAATCAGCAATCTCAGAGTCTGAATAATCCGAAAGCTCAGCGTCAGAGACAAGTTCCTAACCACTCGAAAGACAAAAATTATATAAAAATGATTTATATTTACAAAAATTATATAAAAATTATGTTTGATATGAGTGTGTGAGTGTTGTGGATGTGTGTGCCAGAGAGAGAGAGAGTGAGTGTGAGTGTGTGTGAGAAAGAAGAGTGAGTGTTGGTTTTGATTTTTTTGTTGAATTTTTACATTTTGGTTAAAAGCGTGGTTATCATCCACGGGTCAATGGTAAAAGCGTGGTTTGCAACCACGTTTTCTGAAGAAATTTTTTTTTTACTTAAAAGCGTGGTTTCTAACCACATTTTATGTATAAATCAAATTTCCTTAAAAGCGTGGTTTGTAACCACGTTTTCTTAATTAAAAATGCGTCTCCCTAGCCCCGTCTTTTGCAATCACGCTTGTTACACTTAACACCTTTCACTCTCGCTGCCTGCTCTCTCTCTCGCTCCCTGCTCTCTCTCTCTCGCTCTTACTACTTTCTCTCGCTCTTACTGCTCTCTCTCTGTCGCTGTGCTCGAGCTCCCTCTGCTTCAGTATTGCCGCTCTCTGTGCTCTCTTTCGTTGGTATGGCTTCTGTCTCTCTCTGTGTATCTACTTTAATGTGTTTTTTGTGTTTGTGAAAATGTGAATGTGGGTATAATGTTGGTAGAATAGGGTTCATGAATGTGGGTATAATGTTGGTAGAATAGGGTTCATGAATGTGGGTATAATGTTGGTAGAATAGGGTTCATGAATGTGGGTATAATGTTGGTAGAGCAGGGTTCATGAATGTGGGTATAATGTTGGTAGAGCAGGGTTCATGAATGTGGGTATAATGTTGGTAGAGCAGGGTTCATGAATGTGGGTATAATGTTGGTAGAATAGGGTTCATGAATGTGAAAA